TGGGGAATTCTGGGAGTTGAAGTCCACCCATCTTAAAGCGGCCGAGGTTGAGGAACCCTGTCCTAATTCATCTCTGGATGGTATCGAAGGGGCTGGGGGGAGGCCGGGACCCCGACAAGACCCACAGCGCTTTACACAGTGGAGAAAAAGGAAACAGATATGGCCGCAGAGTTTTGAGAAGGCCCGCTGCTTTATTCAAGTAACCAAAGGGCTAAAACCCTTTCCACGCTTGCCTTAAAAGAACACCCTTCCGAGCCCCCCTCGTTCCAAAATCACCCTTTTCAAACCTCTTTCTCTGCCTCTCCTTCCGCTGCTTCCAGCAAGAGACTTCTTGGGGGGTCAAGATGGGCGTGCCTGCACGCACACGCACGTGCGAGGCTTTCTCTGCCCGATCCAAGCGCCCTTCCGAAACAGTGGGCAGAGCTCCCGACGGCCCCCTGCATCAGAGGCCTTGCCCTGGGGGCACCCAATGACCCTCCAGGGCGAGGAGCTCCCCTACCCACCGCCCAGCAGGGCAGATGTTTTTAAGGGCAGAGCTGGGGGGGGGGGTCCGGGAACCCCTCCGTGGTGCAGAATGACTTCTGCCCTGCCAGCTCCTAGATTGGCTGCCTGGGGAGGGAGGCAGGGAATTTGGCACGAGGTTCGGAGGACTCCCCCCTCCAGCCGACACCACTGTGGGGGCTGAGGGGGTGGCAGCCCCACTCAAACGGATCGGTGGCGCCCCTCTGGCCCTCCGCAGCCTCCTTCTTGGGGCGGCATTGTGCAAATAACTGGTGTCATGTGCACAATGTTGTCCTGATGCGCGCAACAATATTGTTGGTTCTATTGGACATCTATGGCTCCTGGGGCTGAGTTGGAAAAAAAACCCATCACAGCTCTCCAGATCGAGGGGCTCAGCCCCCGGGGAAGGGGAGGAGGGGGAACTTGCTTGGCTCCTGTGCGCCCCCCTCCCTGACTGGCAGAGCAGGACCGTGCAGCCCAAGCCTACTCTTGTGCAAGCCTGTCTCTCTGGGCGGGAACACAAAACCGGCTGCGCCTCTTTTCTCCTTTGCGCTTACGGAAGGGTGTTCTTTTAAGACGAAGCCAAAAACAAAAAAAAGTTCATTAGAGGTAAAATATTTTTTATAGGAAATCAACAAAACGAAACGAAACGAAGGAAAAACACCACCCTATGATCTTGCAGTCACTCGTACGGATGGGAGGGGAGTTTACCCTTGAATTCAGCCACCTCAAAATTTACATGCAGGTAGGAACCGTAAAAATAAAAGAACATATAAAAAACCTAACTAATAAAGTGCATGTTTTGTTATATATTACATCTGCCCCAACTGAAGAACACACAAAGGTATTGTGAAAAGAGTCAAGTTTGATGGGGGGGGGGGGAAGGGAGGGGAAGGGAAGGGAGGGGAAGGGAAGG